AAGTTTAACTTTCCTAAGCTCTGAATCCTTGGAAGAGCTCCAATGAAGATTGACATTATTTTTGAGGCTTTTTAGAGTAGGATTTATACTATGTGTGTGCTTGTTTTAATGAGTCAAAGGCCTGATATGGAAGCAAGTGAACTCAAGAAGTTTCTGGATATATTCTAGCTAAGTAAATTCGATTTATTCATCAAGGGCAGCTTCAAATCTTACCTGCTCTGTGCAGTCTTCCTAACTGTTCCATCCCACAGGGATTCCTTCTTCCTGAACTCTGGTCACATCTCTGCTGTCTCCCAAGATGGGCACTGTTTTGTGGCTTTGCCCTCATCTACCACCAAAGTGAAAGGCCCCCAAGAACAAAGACTGTGACTTCTAATTTTTTTTGAACTCATGTGATGTCTAGGATTAGATGCAAAGAAGATTACCCTGAACCCGCTACCAGGCTGCCATTGCCCTGACTAAATCACAGGGAACGCCACCCTTTGTGGAAGACTTTTCTGAGCAAGCCACATTAAGAAAGGGCAGAGAGCAGGAAGCGCAGACCCTAGGATCTTGGCTGCACCCAGTCTGTGCTGCCCAGAGTCCTGTCTCTATCCCTTCAGATTCCCCTAGTTAAAGGAGCTGAACACCACAAGGAAGAGATGCAGCTCATTTTAAGCCTTCACTATTAAATCCCATCCATCTGTCAAGACACGGCTCGGATAGCCCAACCTCCAAGCAGCTTTTCTGAACACACTGGCTGGTGTGTTCAGAAAATGAACAGCTGCTTCATTTTCAGAAAACCCATTTCAGTGAAAAGAACCTTAGTGCCAGACTCTGGCCGACCTCTGTTTGAATTCTAGTGCTGTTTCTTCTCAAGTGGTAATCTTGAGCAAGTCACTTCATTCCTCCAAGCCTCGGTTTCATTGTTTGTAAAATGTGAATAATAGTTTCTGCCTCACAGGGTGGTGTGAACTGTAAATGTCGTCATGCATTTGAAAGAATGCCTGCACATAAGACACGCTCCGACATGGGAGCCGCCATCATGACTATTTCACCAGCCTGCCTTCTATTGAAGGCATTTACATGTGCATCTTTTCCAATCCTTTAGAGTAGTGGTTCTCCAACTCCACGGTATATCAGAATCATTTAAAATGAAGATACGTATGACATATAACTGACCTACAATTCAGAATCCCCATTAGGCATGGGAGATGGTGGGGACTTGGCAGCTCTCTTTTTAACAAGCCACCCACTCCATGGCAAGTGATTCTGATACACGCTCACCAAGCTTGGAAAATCCTGCTAGACAATATTTGATTCCCAAAATCTTTCCCATGGAAACTTGAGTCTCCAAAGAGCTTCATCCAGACCAGTGCTTCCCAAACTTGGCTGGGTTGGAATCATACCAACATCTGAGGGTGGCCGCTAGAGACTCTGATGGTTTGGAGTGTGACATGGGTGTCAGAGCTTCTAAAAGATGGGCAAAAAATTCTAACGGTCCGTCAAGATTGAAAACCACTGTTGCATTGGATCTTGACCCCTGGTTTCTATAGCAATACCTGAGGGTTCAACCAGAGCAACTCAGATTTTACATGTGTCATTATACAAGCTGAGCCTCTATCTAAGATTGATTTAGCAGAAAGGATTCTTCTGCTTAAAATATATATATATATATATATATATATATATATAGCAATTTTGAAAACAACTGTTCTAGGCTGTCAGTAAGAGCCATGAGGTCCCACAACCTGGCTTTTATTCACCTTTGTGTATGTCCCAGGGCCTTACAACATAGTAGATGTTTAATAAACATCTGGTGGAAGGTTGAATAGTTTCCTTTGTTATCGGACTCCAATTAAGTTTCCTGTTGCCTAGCAGAGCAACCTAGCAATTTCTTAAACATCTAAACTCCTACAGCCTTTGCCTCAAACCTTAAACCTGAAACAGGGAACGGAGCAGAGAGCCATCCTGAAAACATGCTGACATTTCTCCTTGGGGTTAAATATACTATGCAAGTACCTAATGACTGATAAATATAAGCAAATGTGATTTTCATCAGCTGGGAAGAGCATGACATTTGTAGGCAGCACAGGCCTCCCAGGCTAATATTTGGATTATTTCATCAGAAACTGTCAAATGACAAGAGCATGATAAAAACTCACAGGAACTTCATAGTAAACAGTAACTAGCCCCTGCCAATACATTTGAAGAAAAGAATTTCCTGCTGCCAAAATGAACAGGCAGAATTCCTGCAGCACAGGCCTGTGGCCAACAAGAATCTGGCCCTCAGGCAGCTCTTCTAGATCCTCAACCACAGAGGCTTTTGAGAAGCCCCTTTCCCACTCAGGTCCCACCCAAGTCTAGCCCTCCATCCCTTCAGCTGGAGCCCACAGGAGGATGAGTACTGCAGGAATCTGGGGGTCAGCGACACCACCTTCAAATCTCAGCTTGTCCACTGACTCTAGGTCCTCCAATTCCTCAAGTGTAACATCGGCTTCATCAGGTCCTTAGAGCCATACTGCCTGGGTTTCAAGCCTGACTCCATTTCCTCACCTCTAAAATGAAGATGCTATTAGCAACACTCTTAAAGGGTCATCAAAAGCTCCATCCAAAGAGTGTAAAGTGCTAAGAATAGTGCCTTGGGAGGCCAGGCATGGTGACTCATCCCTGTAATCCCAGCACTTCAGGAGGCCAAGGCAGGCAGATCACTCGAGGCCAGGAGTTCGAGACCAGCCTGGCCAACGAGGTGAAACCCCATCTCTACTAAAAATACAAAAATTAGCTAGGCATGGTGGTGCATGCCTGCAGTCCCAGCTACTAGGGAGGCTGAGGCAGAGGAATCATTCGAACCTAGGAGGTAGAGGTTGCAGTGAACCAAGATCGTGCCACTGCACTCTAACCTGGGCACCAGAGCCAGACTATATCCCGTCCCCCCAACCAAAAAAAAAGAAAAGTACTTGTATGGACATTTAATAAACCTTAGCTATTATAAATTTGCAATTCTAAAATTAAGAGTTTTGAAAACTAAGTTTTTGTCGTTTCTTTTCTTTTCAGATTTTTGTCAGCTTGGTGACAAAACTCATTGGCCAACAAACCTGACCTTAACTGATATCAGGCCATTTATGGTGTTTTGGTTTTATCCTGCTTGGTGAGAACATCCATATGTTTCACTGCAGAAATAATAATGTGTTTGATTATGGGATGCCGCCCCATACTACAGAAGAAATGCCATTAACATGTGAAATGCCTGAATTACCTTTCTAAAATCTGGACAGTTCTGAATTCCAAAACACATTGGCCATAAGCATTTTAGATGCGGAACTATGGGCCGGGCACAGTGGCTCATGCCTGTAATCCCAGCACTTTGGCAGGCCGAGGTGGGAAGATCACTTGAGGTCAGCAATTCAAGACCAGCCTGGCCAACATTGCAAAACCCCTCTCTACTAAAAATACAAAAGTTTCCAGGTATGGTGGTGCACATCCGTAATCCCAGCTACTCGGGAGGCTGAAGCATGAGAACAGTTTGAACCTGGGAGTCAGATGTTGCAGTGAGCCCAGATGGCGCCATTGCACTCCAGCCTGGGCGACAGAGTAAGACTGTCTCAAACAAAAAAAACCTAAGGGACTATGGAGCTATGCTATTATAGGTTTGTGACTGGGATCGAAAGAGACAACGTTCATCAAGCCTTCAGCTTTAGGAGCAGACCCTCAGCCACAGAGTTGGTACTGGAGGGTGCTCAGGTTTCCATGCAGAGAGAGAGAGAGAAGGAAGCATCCTTTCGGGGCTGCCTCTCTCCTTCCCCCTCCAGGCTAGATCTTGGAGTTCACTGTTCTTCGCTCTTCTCTTCTATCTACTCAAACGTGGCTCCCTTCAGAATTCAGCTAAAATACCCTTCTTCCTAAAATGGTCCTCTCTCTCTCTCCAAATCTCTACTGCACAAGGTCAAGAGCATGTGGCTGGGGAGGGTGGATGGGTTGCATCTCCTTTCCACCTGCAGGCGGCTGGCAGTGACAGCTTACATCACTGGGCTAAGATGGACTCTCATGCAGCAAGTGGTCATACTGGAAAAGGCTGGCCGTGGAGACTGATGCTGAACTACATATGGGCAAGAAGGGCGAGGCAGCCCACCTGATAAGCTCAGGCCCTGCCTGCTGGGATTAACACGGCCTGACAAATGAATTATACATTTCTTAATAACAGAGAGCACATCTTACATTTTGTGTTCTTGTCCATGTTTATTTGTTTTTTGTTACTGTTTTTGCATTACTATTCTCCCAGGATCTATCAGGGACCTGTGCACTAAGATACCAAGCAAACACTGTCGGATGAATGCAGAGTGATCTGTTAATATCTACTGCTTCACTCACTAACAGGCTCTTCTCAGCGCCTATATTCCTACCTTTCCCAGGGCACTGCCTAGTTTGACACATTCATGCTTCTTAGAGCTGTACCGCTATTTTGATGACACTATGCCATTTCTAGAGTTTACATTTTATTGACTCCGAAACACAGTTTAGGTCCTTAATTAGACATATCCACAGACCAGTGTGTTGACTCAAAAAACTTTGGAGAAACTTCCTAGAAAAGTTCACAGAATCTGGAAGCCTACAGTTTTCGAGTATTCTGAGACTCCAAACATTCAATTTATCCCAGGATTGGCAACTCATATCAGCTCTTGGGTTAGACGGACGTCTTCTTGTCTTGTGTTTTCAGCTCTAATCCACACAGCCTGAGGACCTCTCCTTCCTGGCACCAGACAACACTCCTCTCCCTCTTTCACCACTCTAGGAGGCCTCCCTAAAATTCTTCCTCAGAGCATTCTCACAATTAGCCTGCTTTGAAGATTATTCAGAACCACAGAGTGAGGTGGGAGTGGCCTCAACGCTTTACAAGGCTGCAAAATCTTGTGAAGTCTGTGGTGCAGAGCAGCTTCCGGGGCAGGGGCAGGGGCAGGGACAAAGACAGCGACAGGGCGGGGTAGGAGGTGGGAGGCACATAGGCAGGGGCAGGCATGTACCTTCTGTCCGTGGTGACTTCGCGGCTGTGGGGCTGTGGGTGCCGGCTGCCCCGCAGCATGGCTGGGCCCTGGCGGCTAGCATCCGAGCCGGCCAGGGCTGGCTGCTCGTCCCGGCTCCGATGCAGTGGCACCGACGTGCGCACGGCCGACACCACGTGGTCCACGAAGGTGCGCGCGGGGGTACTGGGCCGCGGGCCGCTGCGCACCCGGTAGGAGAGGGGCAGGCAGGGCCGCTTCTGCTCCATCACGCCGCCGCTGCAGCTCCGCGAGCAGGCGGACCAGGGGCCCCAGGAGCCCCACACTCCCGGGGCGCCGCTGCCGCCACCGTCCCCGGGGGCGCCCTCTGCAGCCATCCGCTGTGGGACCTGCGGAGACAGAGGCGGGTTAGGGGACCAGAAAGCCAATCCTCGCTTCACCGGAAAGGCTTTGAGCAGGGCCGACTTATCCATCAGCCATAAGTAGGCACAGGGTCTATTTCAAAGATGAGTATTAACACAATCCAGCCAGGCTTAGAGTCGCTTTTTGGAGGAAAGAGGGTCCCGCGAAGGCAAAAGTGCGTAGGGCCCGCAAAAGCCATCATGTGCTCCTGGCTTTGGGTGTCATGGCCTTGGAGAGCGCCAAGTGCATGGTGCCCTCACCTCTTATGCGGTTTCTGGAGTCCCCCTTGCCTCCAATTCAGGTCTCCTGGATTCCCGCCAGAGGGATTGGACTTCCCATAAATTGCAAAGAAGGCATGCCCTGTGTCTCCCAGCCGGAAAGGCAAGGAACAGTTCACAGTGGTTGAGAGGCGACGGCTTTAGAACCAGGCTGCCCAAGGTCACACCCTTGCCACCATTTCCTACCAGTGTGACCGGGAAGTTTCTGAATCTCTCTGAGGCTCACTGTGCTTTAAAGACGAATAGTACCAGTACCTACCTCATAAGCTGTAAGGAGATTTAAGTTAGGACATCCGTGTGCATAGCAGAGAGCTTGGCACTCAACAAATATTTGTTTTATTAGTAATCATACTAATGTCTCTGCTGCCATAGTGACTCAGAAGAAGTTAAAAATGGCAGAAGGTTCAAAAGCTCTATCCAAACAGTGATCTACACCTCATTTAGACTGGTCATTTCACAGATCTACTATGCCAGTCTCCATGCCAAGAGCAAGCACACGGTGGTTTGTTCATTATGCAGACATGCTCTGAGCACCAGCTGCATGCCAGCACTGAGCCAGGCCCAGAAGACAAGGAGAAATGCACCACAGGTCCACACAAGTGGCTTGGATCCCGCAGCAGATGAGCTGTATGCAGCTAGTACAAGGTTGTGGGAGGCTCTTGGAATGGACTGGTTAACCTGCCGGTTGAGGGTGAGGAGAACTGAAAAGACCTCAAAGGAGGAAATGGGAGTCACAGTCATAACTGTAATTGTTCAGGCACCTACTCGGTGCCAGACACCATAGCTCACCTCAAGAAGAGGTCATCCTAAGTAAGCCAGGTGGGCCCTAAATCCAATGACAAGTGTCCTTATAAGACATGGAAGAGAAGACACAGACACAAAAGCAGTGTGACCCCTGAAGCAGAGACTGGAGTGGTGCAGCCACAAGCCAAGGAATGCCTGGAGCCACCAGAAGCTGGAAGAGGCAAGGAAGGATTCTTCCCCTAGTAACTTTGGAAGGAGCGTGGCCCCTAGTGACACTGATTTTGAACTGCTGGTCTTCAGAATTTCAAGAGAGTAAATGTCTGTTGTTTTAAGCAATCCAGTTTGTGGTGATTCATTACGGGAATGTGCTCATACCTGGAGAACAAGAAAGGAAAATGGAACAGCATGGGCTGCACTCCTCCTCTGTGTCCCATGCTGCGCAGATGGCACATGTGCAAATGGCCCGGCTCTGCAGCACAGGCAGCCCTAGTGCCAGTTATACTTTCCAGGGCCCCTCAGCTCTCCCAGCCACCCGGAGAGGTTGACGTTATGTGTCTCCTCTTAACGGGGAAGAAACTGAGACCGTAAGAGACTTTATGACTTGTCTTCGGTCTCAGACTAGTGCAGGGCACAGACGGGACTAAAACTGATGTCTCCTGACCCCTGGTCTAGTATTCATTTTCCCCCCTGCAGCATGCGGCCTCCCTGTCTATGTTGTTGGTAGAAAACAGAAGGTTAAAATAAGTAGAAATAAAACCACTTCGATCGTTGTTCTAGTGGAAGGATAACTGGGATAAATGAACAAATGCAGAAATATGTTTCTGGCCCATTTGGGGATTTCACATATCCACCACCTCCTGATCTCTCATTCACACAGATAACTAAGACACTGCCTATAACAGTTGCATTAGACATGGAGCTATACTCAAAATCCAATTCCTAGAACTAATCCCACCCTTAATTTAGTTTCCTATTGCCAAACTGGGCAGGGTCCCTGGGGAAGGAAAACATGAACCACATTCTGTCCTATTCTGTTCGTAAGAATTCTCTACAGTCAAATTATGGTGAACGACTTGAAATTCCACACGAGTCCCCATGGTGGGAAAGCAACGGCATGCTCCAGAATTGTATTTTTATAGTATGCCCACAGAAACAAACAAAAACAAACAAACAAAAAACCCACAGAAAAACAGAAAGGAAGGAAGGAAGGAGGGGAAACAGAAAGAAAAAGAAAGGGAGAAAAAGCCAATCAAAGAAAAAATGAGGAGATGACGGCTCAAGATGTTAGCCTGCTAGTTGCCTCAACCTCCCATCCTCCCTCCACTCGTTCCTGATCCTCCTAATAACCCTCTCCCCTTCTTCTGTTCTGACAGTCAAGGAGTTCTCTGTAAGGCAAGATGTAAGATGGGATAACTTTCAAGTGTTTTGAGACATAATATTCCTAAAATTAGGATGAACTAGCAGGACCTCTGTGAGTGACAGACAGCAAAACCACATAATAAATCATGGCAAGAGACAAAAATAATTGAACCTCAAAGCTTTATAACCTTCCAGCGTGCTGCCCCGTCCTCAATATGTACTGCCATGTGAAGACTGGGGCAAAAAAGCCTGTTTTGAAATATAACCTAAAGGTATGAACAGGTGGTTCACAGGTGTTATGGACTGAACCCCCATTCATATCCTGAAGCCCGAACCCTCAGGATGATTGCATTTGGAGGTGGGGCCTTTGGGAGGTAACTAGGTTTAGATGAGGTAATAAGGGTGAGACCCCCATGATAGGATTCATGTTCTTATAAGGAAAGGAAGAGAGACCAGAGTGAGGAAAAGTAACCAGTTTTCTCCGTCTCCTCTCTTAGCCGCACTCCCCAACCCACCGTGTGAGAACACAGGGAGAAGGCAGCCCTCTGCAAGCCAGGAAGAGAACCTTCGCCAGGGAACCAAATCGCTCAACACCTTGATCTTGGACTTTCCAGCCTCCAGAACTATGAGAAATAAATTCCTGTTGCTTAAGCACCCAATCTATGGTGTTTTGTTACAGCAGCTCAAGCTGACTATATACAACAGGGAAATAAATGACATAGGAAAATTGTGCAATGTCACATATAGTGAAAATAATGCAAAGTAAAGCACCAAAATTTCATTTTAAACCCATTAGATTGGCACATAAAGTTTGACAATACTGATATGGCAAGAATGTTCACTGCTGATTAGAATCTAAATTTGGGCAACTTCTTGGGAGAGAACTTTGCAATACCTATCACAATTTCCAATGCACGTTCTCTTCCACCAGCAGCTCTACTTTTAGTAGTTTATCTTACGGATATACTAAAAAATACTGTATAAAGTTCTATGTATACATAAAGACTTACATTGCATCATATTTTATAAGAACAACAATTAAAAAAAAGGAAGCAATCTAAATGTTCATAAATAGGAGCTTGGGTAAAACGAAATCTAATCTACCCAAACAATGGAATGTGATTTATCTGGTAGGATGAGGTAGATTTATATCTGTTAAAATGGACAGCTCTCCATATATTTTTTCACTATATTAATGAATAAAACAAAACAAGAAATAGGATAGTGTAAGAGAATAAACGTATTTGTTGATATCACTCTTTAAGCATTCAGTTGAAACATAAGAAATCACTGATATTTGACCATTTTTGATCTACAGAAATGCAATTTCATATAATTAATACTTTTCTATGATTCAATCTAATATGAGTAGTTTTCTGACACTGACAACTAACAGAGCCCAACTAGAAAATCTTTTCGCATCAAACAAGGCAGCAGGAATGATAAGGCAGAATGCAGTGTGCCCTCATCACCCACCTCCACCAACTTCCTATACTAGCCAGTTGCCCTGGGGATCACATTCACACCTTGGAGCAGCTGGCAAGGCCTATTAGCAGGTGTTTAACAATGACAGCAATAACAACCACTTATTTCGTAACAGAATTCAGGCCAATCAAACGCCAATTACTTTATACATATTATCTAATTAATCCTCAAAACATCCACCTAAAGAAGCTATCATCGTTCTCCTGTTACAGATGAAAAACTGAGGCTTAGAGTTTATTTCTGGAGTTCAAAAAACTCATAACAGTTCATGAGCACCCAGAATACCTCCTGTGATTTCCAGCAATGCTTAGAATGACCTTGGGGAAGGCTAAGATTCTGCACTGTGTACATGTGAACAGAAGGTCACGACAATTGGAGTGATTGCGTTTAAATGACTTTATACCCATAGTTTTAGTCCCTTTTCGTGCTGCTGATAAAGACATACCCAAGACTGGGCAATTTACCAAAGAAAGAGGTTTATTGGACTCAGTTCCACAATCATGTCAGAAGGTGAGAGGCATGTCTCACATGGCAGCAGACAAGAGAGGTAAATTGTGCAGGGAAACTCCCCTTTATAAAACCATCAGATCTCATGAGACTTACTCACTATCAGGAGAATAGCACATGAAAGACCTGCCCCCATTATTCGGTTGCCTCCCACCAGGTCCCTCCCACAACACATGGGAATTGTGGGACCTACAATTCGAGATCAGATTGGGTGGGGACACAGCCAAACTATATCACCCATAGACTGGTAGGTAGGTCCCAAGAACATCTAGGGTAAAGTTATTTAAATGATCACAAAAAGAAAATAAACAAAAGAGATCTTCCATTATGGAAAACAACATGCTGATGTAAGGAAAGGGGCAGAGGATGAAGTTCACGTTGAATGGCTTTAGCCTTCTATGAAAGAGGTAAGGTCTGCCACTGAGGGAAGGGAAGAGATACACTGGAGGATTACAGACAGAAGCAGCCCAGTGGATAAGCAAAAATACCCCTTACCTGCCCTAACTGCTTTAACACAAACCCTCTGTCTGGTACTCACAAGATTCATTTCAAGGAAGTATATTTCCATTTTGCAGATGCAGTCCCTGAGGTTCAGAGTGTCCACGTGGTCTAAT